GCTCTGCAACGGGCTGGGAGCGCTGCCAAGGCCTTCTGGAGAGGGTGAAGAAACCTGCCATTAAGACGACTGAGGTACAACATGGTGAGCGACTCAGCGGAGCGCTGCCTGCTCCCCTGACCTCAAAAAGGAGATAGCACTGATGAACAAGTATCTTCACAGGGGAAAAAACAGGTCTATTGAAGCACTCTTTGATTTAATAAGAGGAGAAACCACAGGCACCAAAACCAGGGTGCAAGCTGAGTCTAAACACATTAAAATTGAAAATGAGGCGTAAGAACTGTAAGCAAATTTGCCTGGGCCGTGGATTTACCCTTTCTGACAACTTTGGGGCAAGACCAGATGTCCCTCTGGAAGACGCTTTAACCCACCAGAAGCTTCCAGGTTCTGTATATCTTTCTGATACAACAGTCTTATGTATAATATATATATATATTTAATTTTGTATTCCAGTTTTGGATGTCCATCTTCAGAGATACTGCACTTTGACTTACAATGAGTTAGTGTCTGCAGAATTCAGGCTGAATTTTTGACTGTCTTCAGCATTTCTAGAAAACGGACATCAACAGGCTGGACAGTAAAATATCAGAGTGTGCAGAACCCCTGGCAAAAAAAAAAAACGTCCCCAAAATGTTAATTCCAAGGACACGCTCACGTGCACGTGGTAGTTAGTTAAGGAGCTGCCCTTGCATGGTATTCCAGTACAGCCTCAATTTTATTCCAGATTGCAAACCTAATCTGAAGTGTGACAGCACTTTAAGTATATACGCTATGCAAATTCATTAGCAGTTTCAAGTGCAGACAAGCTCTAAATTTGCCTGGAAATACCAATATTTACCAATAATTCACCTATAAAACCTTGTGGTGTTATCAGTGTAATTGCTAGGATATCTTCCACTTCTGTTGCCACACATCCTTGCTGCGTCCTGTCTTAGATGGAAAACCCTTCCAGTAAGGATGTTTTCCCATTCAATTTATAGGCTCTTATCTAATTTAAAGAGTGGAAAGAATAAATGCGTAGCTGTATTTTAGGCTAATGTCTATGAGAGGGACTCTGAAATAAATAATGGACCCTCATCAAACAAATCCAAACAGTAACGTGCACGATAGATCAGGGCCAAATGATCTAAACATCGAAATCTCTAAAGCAAAATGAAGAGAGTCCACGGGGGCTGTGGGACCAGCAAAGGTGACACAGGGCCATGCAGAGGGGCACTCGCTGGGGTCCATATGGGACGTTATGGCTCCATAACGTGGGATTTCCAGGTGGACGTGGTGACAGGCCTGTCACCCGGCAGAGCGGACGCGCTCCTCCGCACGGGAACACCCTGGTGACCACCAAATCCAACGCTTTCCCTCCAGAGCTTCCCGAGACCCTCAACGGGACCTCAATAATTTCAACTAAAGAAGCAGCATTTGAGCACCCGCTAACCACTGGGATCAATAGCGGAGCCAGCAGAGGAAGGATTACGGATGGATTTGGCAATCCCGGAGGTGTTTTCCAAGCACAGTGACTCTGGGAGCGCCGTGGACTGTTCGGGATGCGGCGCGGGACGCCCCGGCTTACTTTGAGCAGCTTCATCAGCCCCTCGAGCTGCACCATCAGCTCCCGCCTGCTCTCCTGCAGCGCCAATTCTTCTTTAAAATAGAGCAAACTACGGCAGAGTCCCCCCAAGCCCCACATCTGACAGGCAGGCCTTTCATTTAAAAGCCAGAGATCTGAACTCGGAGCCTTTCATAGTAGGAAGCACTTTTTTAAAGCACCACATTGCAAGGAAAAAAAAAAAAACAGCTTCTATTTAAGAACACCCTTAATAATGTCAGAGCCAGGCATCCTGCAGAGCCGTCACGCAGGCAAGAATGAGCCGTGGGAGGAGGAAAAGGAAGGGAAAAGGAGGCCAAAAGGCTGCACGCATTTGGAAGGAGCGCGCCGGGCGCCCGGCCGTCCCCCCGGAGCCTCCGTGGAGCCGCTTCCGTGGAGCACCGGGACGTGCACGCTTTGAAATATCCCCTGCACCGGAGCCCGGCTCATCCTAACACAATTAACAGCAGGAGGCAGGGAGAGGCCTTCGCTTCCTGGGCATAATTAAAAAAAATCTCTGCATCTCCGCAGCTGCTGAACAAGGCCTATCTGGGAGAGACTTAAGAACATGCAACTGGATGGTTCCATTTTATAAAAAATAAAGACGTAGCTAATACAGGGACAAAAGAAGACATGAGCCGTGCAGTGCTTTAAGATCAGTATCTTACAAAACTCAACAAATGCTGGACTCCAGAAATCACAGTCCTGGTAATGATAAATAACAATAAAAATACAGAGAGGACTGCGTACTCCTTTACAGTTATTTTTGTGGCTATAATAATGTTGTAGCCCAAAGTTAAAAGCATAGTAAATTAGAGACTGGACTTTTAAATTCCTTTGTTTATACCTCAGCATTACATATACATAATAGTGAAATACTATAGAAGTATTTCACCCAATAACTTCATTTTAAAGCATGTGGTTGTTACATGGCCAACCATATCACAAAAAAGAAGGCAATTAAGGAGTTGATTACACATGGGGGATCCCCCAGAGTATGTTAAGGAATCCCACCAGGCTTAGCTCTTCATGTTTATGTGGTCTGCTTTTGCTCTGTGGGTCAATGCCGAGTCTGTAGCGCTTTTTCCCCCTATAATTATCATCATTAATAATTAATTATTTCCCAATATCAATAATTAATATAATGACTATCAGTAATTTTACCTATGCTATAATCAGCGGTAATCCAGCATTTTGGTCAAGATTAAACACACTGCAGCAGCAGCAGCACACTAAAGGCGCGCGGCTCTCCCCGTGTGTTTGTTGATGAGGGATCCAGCCCGGGAGCACGGCTGCCTTTGGCCTGTTGCTCCGCTTGGCTTCCCAAGGCCTGGGAAGACACAAGGGCCGCCCAAAGCACGTCCGACGCTGCAGGATCCCAGCACGGGGCAGGACCCACCTGGAAGGGGCGGCTGGAGGCAGGAGCCACCAGGCCCGTCTGCACCACCGGGCAAGGAAAGCTGGAAAATCTGGGCTTTCTCCATGCAAGGGGACCTTTGCCAGCAATGGGGCAGAACCGACTTACCCTGTGGGCTCCAGGCTTGCAGATTTGTAGAAGTGGGACAAATTGATAGAATCATAGAATCATAGAATGCTTAGGGGTGGAAGGGGCCTCTGGGGATCACCCAGTCCAACCCCTGCACACGCAGGGTCACCTAGAGCACGTGGCACAGGACTGCGTCCAAGCGGGTTTGAAGATCTCCAGAGAAGGAGACTCCACAACCTCTCTGGGCAGCCTGTTCCAGGGCTCTGGCACCCTCACTGGCAAGAAATGTTTCCTTAAGTTCCTATGGAACTTTTGGTGCTTCAGTTTGTGGCCATTACCTCTAGGTAATGATCCACCAGGACCTCACGCTTTCACAGCCTAAATTCTACCCAGCAACCGCGACGAGCAGCGAGCGCGTTTCAAGGGCACCAAAGCGAGGGCCGGGGGGCCGCGCACGCGAGCAGGGTCCTGCCGTTACCGTAGGAGCCGCAGCTCGGCCAGGAGCGTGGGGTTCTGCTGGGCCTTCTCCGGGGTGGGCTGCGACGCCTGCTCGTGCTCCAGCCGCAGCCGCTGGATCTCCTGCAGGATCTCCCTGCGACATTCCCGCGGGAGAGGAGAGAGGGAAGGGTCAGCGCTGGCACCGCTCTCGGCAGAGCGTTCCCAGCCTCCAAGGGCGCTTCCCGGCTGCTCCGGGATGGAACGGCCAGGGTTGTCCGGGTACAGCCCGAGCGCGGCAAGCCAGGGCGCCCCACCAGGTACCATTACACACATAGAAAATGCATTACTTAAGTGATGAGAACTGTGAGACCCCCTCTGTGCCACGTGCTGGCAATGGCTCTTCAAAGCCTTTCCTGCCTTACAGGCGCGAAGACAGCTTTAAATGGACCCCAAATTTACATTTTTAGCATTCATTTGCCCTTCTGCTGGCACCGGGATCACTGATCTCCGGATGGTCTCTGCAATGGGAGCGCAGGGACCCGGAGGTGGGCACGGATGTCCACGGTCAGGGCAGCTCTCTGGGTACACCCAGGCTGGTCACAAACCCTCCCAGGGGACATAAGGGCAGAGCAGCCACATGAGGAGCGGGCAAAGTGCTCAGGAACCCGACGCAAGAGCTAGGAAGAGCCGGTTAACATGATGCAAAAGGTTCCAAAAAAAGGAGTACTGCGACAATCTTTTCCCTCCTCAAACATTCATGGAAGGCCCCCGATCCGAGCTCGCCCTTTACCTGTTTTTGTTTTCCAGCTCTGCTATCAGCTGCCTTTGCTGTTTGTTGGCGTCGAAGTTGAAGCCCAGGTCTGCTGGTGCGCGAGGCTGGTGGGAAGAGAGGAGAATTGAGCACAGGCTGTTCCCGCTGACCTTGCATGGGCCCAGTCACAGATTCACAGAGTGCTGAAGGTTGGAAGGGACCTCTAGGGATCACCCAGTCCAACCCCTGCACACGCAGGGTCACCTAGAGCACGTGGCACAGGACTGCGTCCAAGCGGGTTTGAAGATCTCCAGAGAAGGAGACTCCACAACCTCTCTGGGCAGCCTGTTCCAGGGCTCTGGCACCCTCACTGGGAAGAAATTTTTCCTTAAGTTCCTGTGGAACTTTTGGTGCTTCAGTTTCCGGCAATTACCTCTCGTTCTGTCGGTGGCCACCAGTGAAAAGAGGCCAGCACCATCCTCCTCACTGCCTCCCTTGAGGTACTAATAGACACTGGTCAGGTCCCCTCTCAGCCTTCTCTTCTCCAGCTGAACAGGCCCAGCTCCCTCAGTCTCTCCTTGTAGGGCAGATGTTCCAGGCCCCTGATCATCCTTGTAGCCCTGCGCTGGACTCTCTCCAGCAGCTCCACATCCCTCTTGTCCTGTGGAGCCCAGAACTGGACACAATACTCCAGATGTGGCCTCACCAGGGCTGAGTAGAGGGGCAGGATCCCCTCCCTCGACCTGCTGGAGACGCTCTCCTTAACGCACCCCAGGATCCCATTGGCCTTCTTGGCCACGAGGGCACTGCTGCCTCATGGGCAATGTCAGTTTAGCACAGTCCCGTGCCTGCTAAACCCCATGGCACGACATGGCCAATGAGTTACAGTAACTGTGCAGAGGTGGATTCCGAGGTGCATCTCCGTGCGGATCTACAGCGTGTTTGACCCGCTGCAGTGTGGGCTGCTGCTCAAAGGGGCACCTGCCTCCGCAGCCCCCCTGCTCGGGACATCTTGGCCACATCCAAGCATTCCTCAAGGCCAAAGCTATCCGCACTATCCATAAAGACCTGTTCCTTCATCATCCCAGCCACCGCAGCACCAGTCATGACCCAAGACCATCACCATGACCATCAGCCTGAAGAGCTTTGCTTGCCATTTCCAAGACCTTCAGAAAAAAGGTGCTGGCTTATCTTAACCAAAAGGCCATCCAACAGCTTCCACAGGAAGCTGGTACCAACTTCTTGTGCTTTCTGTAGATCCCATTCCTTCTCTTTTTCTAATCCATCAGTTCCGCAGTGATCCCAGGGCTCAGGGAAGCCTTCCAGCTCGTTCGGTTCCTGTGATTTGGTCCCAGCTAAATGGGCATCAAGACTCCAGGCAATTGCTTGACATGCACAGTAAGCCAAAGGCCACAAAAGAGGCATGTACTTAATTTTTCATTCAAACCGACAGGATTGTTGATAGACATTAAATTTAAACATGGTCACTGCCCCTGGAAAATTCAACCCTTCTCAGCCCCCTAAATTAATAAGCTCCCGCTGAAAGGAGGTTGCTGAACACATGCATTTTCCCAGTGAATCCTGACCTCCGTGGCCCTTGTGTTTTGGCTTCCTTCTCAGCAGCAGTCGCGGGCACCGCTGACAAAAGCGCCGGGTAATTGAACAAGAGGCTCTTGTTTGGGGAGAACCTGCTGGCAGCTGGGCCGCAGGACAAGGAGCCAAAAAACACACAGACGTAAGGATCGCATCGGATTTTTTGCTGGTTCAATGCATTTTTCCAGTGGAATCTTAAGATGCTGGAAAAGGTCAGCAGGTCCCAGATGAACAGCAAGGGCTTGATCAGCCCGCTCGTGGCAAGGGCTGTAGGGTCCTTTTCCAAAAAAAACATTTTTTTTTGTGCATTTTGGTGACTTCCAGCTCCTTTAGGCTCTTCAGGATCCTATTGCACTCTGTCCCCAAGAGGAGGAACATCCCTCTGCTGCTCACTTGCAAACATCACTGCCCTGAGAGGATTCAGGATGACAATCCAGGATTTTATTTGTTCTACTGCCTCTGACCTTTGATAAAGTTACTTGATTCCAGTGTCTCAGAAGCAGCCGGGTTGAGGCTGGAAGGGACCTGCTCAAGCAGGTCAACTAGAGCAGGTACCTCAGGGCTGTGCCCAGTTGGGTCTCCAAGGATGGAGATGCCAAAACGCCCCCAGGCAACCTCTGCCGGTGTTGGACCATCCTCACAGTAAAACAGCTTTTCCTTACGTTTCCATCGGATTCCACATGTTTCAGCTTGTGCTCGTTGCCTCTGTCCTTGCACTGGGTGCCACTGTGAAGAGTCTGGTGTCATCTCCTTTACCACCACCATCGGGTACTGAAGCACATAAAGACTCCACTGCTCTGGAGTCTCTTTTCCCCTCAGGGATAGACTATCTCAGAAGAGAATCCAGGCTGCCCGTTCTCCACCAACATCTAACCCTTGTAAGGTTCTTACATGCACAAGGTACCTGACGGCCAGCCTGAAGGTTTCCAACGCCGGCGTTTACGCCTATGGAATTAAAAAGCACCACGCAGAGGCCCTGGAATTTGATCACCATATTATTAAGTTTTTAGTGTGGTCCCAGAAGAACTTTGGCTCAGGGCGAGCGCTCTCTGCAGCCCTGCCCAGCGCGGATTGGGAATCCCGACGAGCCGCGAAGCAGCTGCAGCAGGGGGGTTGGACACAGCTGTCCCGTTGCGGGGCCGGAGCGCTCGGGATGAGCCGTGCGGACAGGAGCAGGTCTGCAAGCCAAGACTCCCAGCACGTCCAACCGTGGCCAGCTCATACACAATGCTGCTGGCCCAAATAGCGCTCCTGGACCAACGGGAATTTAAGAAAAAACCCAACGATGGTTTAGCATTAAAGAAGAGAGTCATCTGTCCAGAGCACAGAGTTTTGGGGTAAAAACACAGCTAAAAAAAGGGAGAGATTGAGGAAAATGTTTCAAGGGGAGTGGGCATGATGAAACCCAGCAGAGCATTTAGCTCTGGTTCTTAAGCTTGTCTGAGATGCCCTCAAAGCTCTTGTGCTCGCATTTAAACCCTGCTTCCTCAGGTAACGTCCCAGAGGCTGCCTTGGGGTATCCCTGAAGTTTACACTGAGGAACAACGTTGGAAGGTGCCCACAACTATAGAGCAACTGGCAGTTCTTGGGGATAAACCCAAAATAAAACCACTTGTGAGTACTGAGAAGTAACAGCCCACACGGAGACAGGCAAACCATGCCCAAGTGATCTACCTTCCATCTGTAACAAAAAGTAAAAGAAGTCTGGGTAGGAGAGAAGCTATTAACATGATCTGCTCTTGCTTTGGCCATCGCCTCCTGACAGTCCTGGACCGGGCTGGACCAGCGGCCTGGAGGAAACACCTGGAGGGGGCTGCAGAGCTGGCTCGAAAGCCACCCCCAAAACACAATTATTACTAGTTCGGTGGACTTGGACAGCTTTCCCCTTGGATTTGGACTTCGTCTGGATTTCAATACTTTCATCAAGAACAGTGATGACAGAATAAGGAATTTCCTTCTTAATTCTGCAGACTCTGTCACATGTGTTGAGCGTCCAGTGCTTTGGAAGACAATTCTCAACTACAAACCTACTTGTCAAGCTGAAGAAATGTTCTGTAAAAACAAAACAGAACCAATAAAGATGAGGGTGCAATTCTATTAAGGCACATGCTTAAGGCAAGTCCCAGATGAACTTCTGACGTGTGTGAACAAGAAAGATCAGAGATCTATAAAACAGGACGAGTGAGGACTGAAAGAATGAAGAGAAGCAGCACGTGAGGGAGGACAACACAATGTACAACCGTGCTGAACTCCATCCACTGCTCTTTTTAAAGAAAATCCTTGGTGAGCATTGGCCCAGTGGTGGTAGAGCTGGTGTGACCTGCGGTGGGAAGCGCCTGCACGTGGGTCCTGGACGGCCTCTCCGGTGCTCGGCCCCGACGCTATGAAGACCAAGGCAAGTCCTTGATGGTCGCTACGCAGCGGGCACCGGGCACGCTCCCAGCTCCAGGACCCATCTATGACTTTGGAAAAAACAGGGCGCACGACCACAGTTTCAAAACACATCCTCACAATGCTCAGTAACTCCTGTTTCTATCAAATCCAAGGATATTAGAAATCTTCTCCGTCTTCGGGCTCGATAAATACAGCTAACTGAATTAATAACCTCCCCTCTCTTCTGGTTTGAATCAAACCATTTCTTCCTATATTCTTTAAAACCAAAAAAATCTGATCTCCAGACACCTTTCTGTCCCCAACACTTTCCAAGCTATATGATTAGGATACCTCTTCCAATCTTCCTTTTTCTTTTTTTTAATGTCTTTTAACATTCTCGTCATTGGTCTTCTTTCAGATTGCTTCATAAACCTCTGAAGACAGGCAGGAGAAAACAGCATTTCATAGAAACTAATGAAAATATCTGAGCAACACATCCTCAGCAACGAAGAATGAGACGAGCTGAGAACTAAAGGTCTCTTTTCCATCGCTCTTTTTGATGAAGTTTTTATATTTAGCTTCCATTTCTGGGTGCCCTTCCCACTAGCCCAACCATTGCACCTATTGCAGCCCATTCTTTCTCCAACTGCCCCGGCTCTGGTGGTTTTAAGCAGCCCGAATTGTGCAGCAGCTGGACAACATTTAACATTTTACCTACAAATGCATATCTGAGATGGGAGCTGTGCACTTGCATTTGCTTTTGATCATGGATGGGAACAGTCATCTTTGTAACTGCAAATCCCTCATCGCTGCTCTGCTGCTCACGGTGCAGCCCGTCCTCGTGGCTCCTTGATTCATCACTGCTCAAGAATAACCTAAACGGTTCAAATTAAATTCATGTATGAGCACTGTGTTGCATTCTGTGCGTGTGAGTATCTCAAATGCATCTCCTTAGTACAACTATTAGGATAAAAACATATAGATGGGCTACCGAGTTCTTGTGGTCTTGGGAGGAGTTTTGGGTGTGTGGGACTGGACTGTGATGGCAAATGCTGTTCTCCTAAATCTATGACTTCACCTGAGGATTTGCATACTATCATATGGGAGTCCTCAAATCTCAGCACATAGGGAAAAAAAATGCAAAACAAGTAATTTCCCAGTCCCTTAAGCTTGTACCCCATCTTACTGGAAGGTATGAACACGATTTGCGTCCTCCAAGATTTAATACTCTAAGTCAGTCCCTAGAAAGCTTCAGTTTCTGCTCCCTACCTGCTGAGCCACGCTGAATATCGTGAGCATATTCACAGCTTTATCCTGCACACATGTGCAGCAAAAAAACAGGCCTAGCTCTTTGTTTATATTAAAAATATTTATAAAAGAAATGTCCAAAAGAAAAAAAACACACAAATACATGAAGGAAATATCTGGGCCATATGTGCAGCTTCACCGAGATGAGATGATGAAAGGCGGTTAGCACCACTCGCTGCCGAGGGAAGAGGAGCAACCACAGCCTCCAAAACAGAGCAACGTGGGCAAGAGTCGCATTACCCGATTTCACCCGAATCCAAACACCCTTCCCCTTCGAGGAAAACTGTCCTAGAATCTGCCTCCTTCTTCATAGCTGAGTGTTATCTTATATTTATTAGGTGCTCGTGTTTTTCTTAGAAGCAAAAAGAGCCCTTCCTCCCCGTATGCAGGATGATCTACGGCCAAGGAAATCGGCAGAGGGAGGATGCTGTGACTTTAGCAAATATTGTGTGTGAAGGTGGATGAGGGTGTGGGGATACACGAAGCCCTTTTTGCTCCCCTGCCTTTACCAAAACGAGGCTGTTTGTTTGATAGGAAATAGCTGTTTCCTCACCGCATACTGGTAATCAGAACAAGTTCTTCTCTTTTCCTGCAATATCTTTAACCCTCGTGTGTTGCCCTTGATGCACAGACTGTCCCCTGCACGTGTCTCCTCTGGTGCCCCAGGACATGGATGCTGCGGATGCCAGCGCCGGGGCTCTCATTTGATGTTCCACATCCCGACTCCACTCGCAGTTGCAAAGGCCAATCTGGACACTACTAATACGGTGTGTTGGCTAAGGAAGGGGTATCTCCCACCGGCAAGAAACAGTCAGAACCTGCCATAAAGCAGAGCATTTGGAAGGGGTCCAAGGCTCTGGTTCCCTCGGGTTATAGAAAACAGCTCTGTTTTTGAGCATTTTTTTGCTGATTAGTAATTTTTGCCCAGTGAATTCCTCACTACCAAGCGTGTTGCGATGAAGACACACTCAAGCTCTTCTTGCTCTTCAAGCTTTCCTTGTCCAGCACGTTTCAGTCCCTGGGGTACTTCGATATCTACCTTAGGGTGCATCTCACTGGATTTAAAGAAAGCAGCAGCTTCAAAGGGTCTTGACAAACTCTAAAGGCTCTTTTATTCGCATCCCAACTACACCAAACTCCGGTCCTGCGTGGGACTCTCTCCATCCTTTTCCGGGCTGGAACTAATTCAGCAATTTAGCGTTTCAACAACTATAAATCCGTATAAGGGCTGCACTAAAACTCCCTTTCTTCATTTAAAACAAGAGTATTTGTAGGGCAAAGCGTCATTAAGTCAACATGGTTCTAGTGAACAGGGTAACTTCAGAAATGCCACAACTGGTGGTTGACGTGCTAAAAGCACAATTCCTACTAAATTTTTGAACAGGAAAATATCCAGCCACATTCCCATTGCAAAGTCATAGAGTAGCTGAGCACACGGTGGAGGAGCTGATGGAAGGGCAGGAGCCCGTCCCGCTGGAAAGGCCAGGAATGAATGGGAATGAATGGGAACAGCGGCGGAGAGACTCCTCTCGCCAGGCTAAAACATGGCAAGGAAAATAAACAGTAAGATGTGTGGGGGAGATCGCTGCTCGCCCGGGGCCTTTGCTGAGGACGAGGCTGTATCTGAAACAACATCCATGTCTTTAACGTGACACTTCCTGCAGCAGCGACATCGCGGAGCAGCAGGGGCCAGAGGAAACGGGGTGGAAAGGTGGCCGAAACCCAGGCAGATCCCCTGCTGCTCGGCACGCGCGGAAGGGTGCCGCTGCCAACACAGCTCTCCTTTTGTAAGGAGAAAGCAGCAAAGTATTTACATATTTACACACTTGCATATTTTTATATATATGCCCCCTATCCATTCAGACAGAAATAATTTTATTGAATTCCAATGTTGTCCTGATGTCCTGTGACAATCCTCTGTTGAAGCTGTGTATATTTTTACCCCTCTAAAGCCGGTGGCTTTTGTGTTTTCTTATCTCAAAAGCGAAGGTCATAGAATCATAGAATCATAGAATGCTGAAGGTTGGAAGGGACCTCTAGGGATCACCCAGTCCAACCCCTGCACACGCAGGGTCACCTAGAGCACGTGGCACAGGACTGCGTCCAAGCGGGTTTGAAGATCTCCAGAGAAGGAGACTCCACAACCTCTCTGGGCAGCCTGTTCCAGTGCTCTGGCACCCTCACTGGCAAGAAATTTTTCCTTAAGTTCCTGTGGAACTTTTGGTGTTTCAGTTTCTGGCCATTTCCTCTAGTCCTATCAGTGGCCACCAGTGCAAAGAGGCCGCCCCATCCTCCTCACTGCCTCCCTTGAGGTACTTCTAGACACTGCTCAGGTCCCCTCTCAGCCTTCTCTTCTCCACCTGAACAGGCCCAGCTCTCTCAGTCTTTCCTCACAGGGCAGATGTTCCAGGCCCCTGATCATCCTTGTAGCCCTGCGCTGGACTCTCTCCAGCAGCTCCACATCCCTCTTGTCCCGTGGGGTCCAGAACTGGACACAATACTCCAGATGTGGCCTCACCAGGGCTGAGTAGAGGGGCAGGATCACCTCCCTCGACCTGCTAGAGATGCTCTTCTTAATGCAGCCCAGGATGGCGTAGCGGGCGATCAGCCGGTGCTCCTCGTCCAGCCGGCTCGGGCTGTCCAGGACGCTGCGGGGACAGGGACGGAGAGCGTCAGCAGCGCGGGCGGGAAGAGCCGGGACGCGGCGGGGACGCGCGAGACGGGACGACCGCATCCCTCCTTCCCCTGGTCCCTGCCCTTCCCGAGCGCTGCGGGCCCTACCCGGACCCGCTTCGTGTTGCATTTGCTGCATTCACACAGAAACGGGGGTTTCGTGATTACTTTACAGGGCTGCACTTCCCAGCTCGGGGAAGCCTCGGGCGGTCGCTGGGGTCTGGCACGGCCCGAACCTTGGGCAGGATTTAAGGGACGGAGCCTGCAGCTCCCACAGCCCGGGACGCGGTTCCCACACACCGGGTCGCGTTGATGTGTCTCCACACTCGGCCCACCCGGGGCCCAAAACATCCCAAAACGTGGGGACGTGAAGCTGCCTGCAGGTCCCAAGCGGAGCAGAGCAAGGAGGGTGAGAGGTGAGAAAAGCAGCGGGAAGACGGGGGAAGGCAGAAGGACAGAGTTTGGAAGAGGCCTCATGGCCTTGCTGCAAGCCCACATGCCAGGCCATTTTCAGAATGATGTTATTTTTTTTTGGTACAAAACAGCCTCTACCCTCTCAATTTCTGAATTTCATGCTGCTTCCCTTTAGGCTTCCTCTCTGATTTTGTCTGTTCAAGTTTTTCCTGCTTTTACAGGAATGAGGAGTGCCCCATTCCTTGTACACCCTTTTATAACCTGGTATCTCCTAATACCTCCTTCAGCTGCCGGAACTCTGATCCCTTCGTACCTGAGCGCGTTAGGAAACAACCACAAACAAATTCATCCTTCCTTGAAGAAAGGCTGTCAATTCTGCAATAAAAACATTATTTCGCGTTTGCTTTTAAAGCTATTTTGTGTGTTTATGGTGAGATCCAGCCTCCTATGCGTCGGCTGATGCCCGTGCAGACACTCCAAAACAGGAGGATCCCCCTAAACGCGGGCGCCGCAGCCTTCGGCCTCGCTCGGAGCCGGGCCGGGAATGTCGGCCTTTGAGCACGTCGGCTTGGAATTCCCTGTAACAGGGTAGTGGGAAAGGGGAAAAGGAAACTGCAGTGCTGTAGAAATGCATCCAGGCTGCTGATTTCTGTTTACTAAATGTCACCTTTAGCAGCCTGGACAGGCTTAGCTGAAAGACGTCAGTGAATTAAATAACTCTGAACAGGATGAGAAACCTCAGGGACCTGGTTCTTTCCCTGACGTGTCCCGTAGGCCAAAGACACCCTTTCCCAATCATTCCTTCCAGGAGAGCAGTGGCTGGAGCTTCCAGGGCGCTCCAGAATATCTGGCTTCGCTTCTCAGCCCAGGGAGGCAGAGCAGGAGGCTCTTGGAGCTCGGCTGGAAGGGGTGAAAAACCCTGGGCAGGAAGGGAGGAAGAGCCCAAGGCAGCGAGTTCACCGCTGCCGTCTCGGACACTGCGACGCATTGCGGGCGCTCTGCTTCCCCGAGCACACGACACGTGGGAGAGCTTTTGGGGGCAAAAAGAGACTAAAAAGCTCCCGGTGTTGCACAGACTTCACCGGGAACGGGGAGCAGCGGCCTCTGTGCCGACCGGGCACCACGAGCTCCTTCCACCCCTGCCTGGCTCCTTGGCACGGGGACAGTCCCTAACTCGCCTCTTCCTTTCCAGCCCTGACTCCGCATTTGTTCAGGCTGAACGGGGACAACCGCAGAGCCGCCCCGGGCGCTTCGGCCTCGCGCACGGTCACATCTGCGACAGGCGGAATCGCAGGAGAGCACGAGGGCTAAGGCTGGAAAAGAGAGCGGAGAGGTGCCAAGGCTCCAGCGCTGTCAGGAAGGCGCCGACGGCAGCGGTCGCTCCATGCAGGTCGCGGCTGCGGGTCTGGCGCTTGCTCGGCCTGGGGAAAGAGAGACCCGTCCCTGGGCGCATCCGGGGCAGAGAGGGAGGAGAGAGGAGGAAGAGGAGCAATTAGAGTTATGGGATGAGGCCGGTGCGAGAACTAACGGGAAGAGCCTGTAGTGAGAGCAAAAAACCAGGTGGGAAAAAATCGGAGAGGTTCCTGTGGGTGAAATGGGTTAATCCCGAGAGAAAAAATATCCACCTGGGTCTGCGGGGATGCTCATCAGTTTGAGAGAGGGATTCTGAAACGCAGCGAAAGCAGCAGCAGCAAAGAGCAAAAAGAGCAGCGTGGGGCAGCCCCGGGGAGCCCCCTCCCGCGAGGTGGCAATTATAAGCAGTAGATCTAAAAAGTAATCTTGCAGAGGTTTGCAGAAACTAAAGAGAACACACCAACTTTGCTCTTCCATTCTTTCAGAAGTCAGAGAATTATGGAAAAGGGAAGTTTGACACGACCAAGAAGACAAGTTATTAATTCATATACTCTCATCACCCTGTGTTATTTGTTCACCAATTTGGGTATATTTTTTTCAAAACTGAAACACCAGACAGTGAGTACTGCTGACTGATTCCTAAATCCTGCAAGTCACTGAGCTGATTTGCTCAAGTACACAGGTACCAGAAATGCAAATCACTATCAGCAATACAGAAGGCACCTGAATCACATGAGTCTGCATGGCAGGCTTCAGCACCAAGCAAGTTAGCAACATGTAATGATGCACATGTTTCAGGGACAAGTGAGAATGCCAAGAAAAAGGCTGACCGTCTGTTCAATGACACGGTGGCTCTCTGTTTTAAGGACCCATAAATACAAAGCTGCTGTGCTTTTGATTTTTTTTGCAAAAACAGAGATGAGCGCACCCAAATTGGCCAAACAAATTGCAAACAAATGCACAGGAAATCCCATTTTTCATTTCTCTACCAGGTGTTCAAGCAGCTCTGGCAGGCCAGGAGCTGCAGGTAATTCCTTCCCCACCCATGTCCCGCAAGCATTTGCCCGGGAAGCCTCTGGAAACACGGCACCTATTGCTCTGAGCATCAATGCGGGGCTGCTCCGAGCACAGAATTCGCATTTTTTAGGCACAGGAGCCCATTCCCCCTCTGCTATGTGCAGCGGCACGTCCGGGCCGCCTGCCAGCAGCACACGGAGACCTGATAATAAAGAAGCAAAAGGGAATTACCCGTGTCGAGCCCTGCGGGCAGAGAGCAGCCTTTGCAAGGCTGGGGTTGGGAGCAGACAGCGGCGCGAGGAGCCGGGCGCCCGGCTGCCGCCTCGGGAGAGCTCCTTGCACAGCTTCCTGCGGGGAAAAAGGCAAGGAAAGAGCCCAGCAGGAGCGACCGCCCTCGGAGCTCGCAGCGAACGCGGCGCTCGGGACGCCCGGCGCTCCCGGCACGGGAAGGAAGCGGCGTTGGTTTAACGCGGGTCCGAGCACTGCTCTTGGACAGGCCCCATTTCGTCCCCACGCTGCAGAAAGGGGCAAAACGCCACGGAAAGCGGCAAAACGGGAATATCCAGGTGCAGCTGGCACCTGGCAGCAAATTCCCGGTCGGTGCCGGCCTCACGCAGCAGCGGGCGCCCCGGGGAGCACGAGACCGTCCCACGGTATAGTGCAAAGGACCTGGGAGCCCGAGCGCTTCCCGCTGCCGCCGTCCCCTCCGCGCGGCCGCGTCCCCCTCGGGGTCCAGCCGCCGACCCCCTGGACACGGACCCCAGCAAAACCAGCCCTTTGCAAAGCGGCAGCGATGGCTGCTCGGGACGCCGCGCCGGCCCCTCGTCCTCCTGCTCTTCATCTGCGTGAGTCTTGTCACACGAAGAACTCGCCGCGCCGCTCCGCTGGGAACGCTGCCTTGAGGAGTTGGCTTAGGGCACGCTGCCGATCTGGGAGGAATTCTGGTTGTTTTGAGTGATTCTGCCCTTGCCACCACCTTGTGAGCACCAGAGCGTTCTGTGGCACAATGCAGTTTCTGCTCCCAGGCAGGTAGTCATAAAAACAAAGCAAAACGGAGCGGAGCGAGAGGAACCCTCCGTGCTGCCTCCCCTGCGAGGAGGAGGAGGCCGGAGGCGCCGTGGAAAGCAGCTCGCCTGGTCCAGGCCTCCCCCTCATCCTCAATTTCACCGCAACGTTTGCAGATTTTGGAGCTTAAAAGGCCAGTTGGCTTCTACCCAGCATGGGTAGAGAGGAGCCAACACCGGGACTGGAGGCACGTGCTGAAGAACAACCTCTCCTTCCAGGTGATGCGAAAGTTGTGCGACCCTTCCTAGGACGGACGGACCCTGGAGGCCTCCTGGCTCGGCCACCCGAGGTGGCAGCAGCCCAGTCCTATTCAAGGAATGATTGGCTTGATAGTCTTAAAGCCACTTAACTAATTATTAGGGCATTTAAATGGAGCTTTTCATTCTTAAATTAATTTTGATTAAAAGAAAATCTAAAAGGAAAGCCAAGTAAAACAGACAATCTGTTTTAAAGTGCAGAATTTTCAAGCAAGAGATCCCTCAACACCCCCAGTACAACAGTGGGGTTGGACTAGATGATCTCTAGAGGTCCCTTCCCACCCTAAGCATTCTATGATTCTATGATTCTATGAACAGCCCACAGCCTTGCGAATCCCCACGGAATTGCACGGTCGGCCCTGGCTGCTGGATAGGGGAAGGTTTCTCCACTTGGAAGAACCCCTGCAATGTGATGGGGAGAGACCTCCTGCTATTTAAAGTAGTAAAAACAAGTACTTGAACACCCAGGGGCTCTGTTTGTGACTGTTGGCTGTTAGAGCCATGGTGCTGACCCTGCTCCTCGTCCCTCCTTCCTTCTTGCTGTTCCTCTTTGCACCCTGCTGCAAAGCACTGCCAAACCATCCCCACTGCACAAAGCTACACCCGGGCCAGCACCTCCCTTAGGTCTAAAATAAAAGATATTTTCCCCCTTTTCCCAGAAAAGGCCCATTTGGGTGTTATGGAGGTGGTACCCAGCACGGTGGGATGGGACGGGCTGCGACCAGGGGCTGCAAAGGCCTCGTGGCCGACACGGGGGGCTCTACGGCTACGGCACGGGCTCTAAACGCCACAGGGCTCTAAGGGACAACGGGCGACAAACGAACGTCCCACCTGCGTCGCGGACACGCGGCACAAGGGACAGGAACCCC